GGCGGCTGTGCGCGTGGGCTGCAGGCAGGGGACTCACAAGAGGGGGCTGGGCAGTGGGAGCACCCAGGAGCCCTCCCTCAATGGATGAGAGGCACTGTGAAGAGGGCATCTAGGAAGAAGGGTGTCAGCAGAGGCGTGAAGGCTGCAGCAGACTCCTCAGGTGGCCGGGCGCGCAGGTGAGGGAGGTAGGTGCTCAGTTCCAGCCCCTCAAAGGCACCGTTTCCAGCTGAAGTTACATTTTCAATTTTTTGTCTGAGCCTCCAAACAGAAACATCTGTCGCCCAGGCCCAGGCCCCGGTTATGAGTTCTTTCCTCTCTTCTCTGGCCTGTTGACAACCCTTTGATTTTCTCCCATTCTAGCGAGACCATAAATGAGTTTTTTTTTTTTTTTTTTTGCTGAGATGGTCAGAGAACAGAGGAGGGAGGAAGCTGGGGGACAGACACAAGCGAAGGTAACAGGAGCTTCTCTGAGGTCGAGGTGTGCATCACACCAGAGAGTGGAGACGGCACGGGGCCCGGGGATGGTTCAAATTAGGATGCTCTTCTCCAAAGGCAAAACTGGCAGTCCGGTCTTGTGCACTGTCACCGTGGCAACAAAGCCAGGCGGCGGGAAGTCACACTGCCTGCTCTGTGACCTTCCACTGGGCTGGGACAGCACCGGCCTAAGCCCCAGGCCCTGAACTGCTCTTGACTCGAGGTGTGGCCTGGCGTCAGACCTCCACTCCGGCGACCCCATCTGTAGAAGGAAGGGCCGTATCGGGCGGTGTCCAAGGGCCTTTCTGTGGATCCCAAGCAGGTGGCCAGGGATGCGGCGTGCTCCACGTGGGTTAGCGTGAATGTCAGAGGTTCTTACGGGGCAACAGAGGTGGTTTTGAGGGCAGGCGGCGCATCTCTCCCTGGATTAGAACAGAGTTGATTTTGAACTTGACTTCTATTTGACTGTGAACTCTGAGAGCAAGAAGCGCGTCTCATCCAGCTGCTTCTTCCATGGAGTCCAGTCCGGGGGTTCCATGAGGTTGAGGCGATGAGAGGGAAGCCCCGCCAGCCCGCAGGTGAGCCTATCCTGCCATGAGCGCTCGGCTGCCTTTCAGCGGGTGCCTGGACTAACTGGCCTTGGAAATGACCTGAGCTCGGGCCATACGCCCTTCCTGTCAAGGCAGCAGGACTTATCCCCCAAGAGGCAGGGCCCCAGCTTTAGCGGGTCTCTCTGACCTTGAAGGCTACTTTCCCAAGTTTCTCCCTTTGAGCTGTTTGAGAATCTGGGATGAAAACAATACGCAAAGCCTTTGTAATCCAAGCCCTCGGAACAGGATTCCAGGAGGCTGGGCCTGCTGTTTCCCATTACAGTGGGGTATGTTATCTGATGGGTACAGAGGGGGAAAAACCCTGCATTCCCACTATTCACTCACCACTCAGCTTTCCGGGAATGAGGCTGGGAAAAGTCTCACCGTGTTAACTGCCCAGATGGACCGAGCCATCAGGGTGGAGCAAGTGACGGGGGGAGTAGAACTGGTTTCAGCAAAGTCCATGCAGGGGATGCAGCACTCAGACCTGGGTGGGGGTGGGGGGCAGGGGGCAGCCAGCGGAGCCAGGAAGAAAGTACCCCGGGTCTGGTATGTTACAGCAGACCAGATGCTGGAGGGTCAGCACCTCACCTGACATCTGACTCTCACAGGCAGCCAGGGAGGGTGAGGCAGAGGTAGGTACTGCCCTCACCAGCCACCAGAACATCAGTTCTCACAGTGCCGTCCCAGGACAGCAGCACCAGGAGCCCCTGGGAACTCTTGAGAAATGCAGGTTCTCAGGCCTCCGCCCAGACCTACTGAGCCAGAAGGCCCCAGGGGTGGGACCCAGCAATCTGTGTCTTACCACACCCTCCAGTGGGGACGCCCGCTGAACCCTGATGACCATGCTCTAGCGAATCTTCCCAGTGGGTGGCCGTAGACAAATACAGACGTGCTGGACCATTGATCCCCTCAGCCATCAGGGGACTGGGCAGAGTCTGGGTCAACCAGAGTCCCCAAGCCAGTCGTCCCTAACCCTGTGTGTTGCCCCAGTACGATGATTTGCTATCTGTGCCGAGGAGTAGGAAACACTGCTGGAGGAGATGCCAAGGCTCAACCTTGCCCGAGCTCCTCCCACGACAGTGAGCAGGGACAGACAAGGGCAGGGTAGGGACTCCGCCTGGACCGCCTGCCCCAGGCCGAGGGCTCGCTCCCTGATGCGTGCAGCCTCTCCAGATCGTTTCACATGCCGTCATTTTGCTGGTTCATTTCATGGCACATGGCCCCGGGGACAGGGGTAGGTTCTGGGAGAAGGGACAGCTGACAGAAGAAGAAGAGGTGCTCCGGGCCCACGTTCACACTCAGATGTCTCTGGACTGAGCCCCCTGACAGACCAGAGCCCCAAGTCATTCTCAAGCACTTGCCAATTAGGGCTGAGCCCCTGGGAGGTGCCTGGTGAGACGAGTCCTGCAGCAGAAGCATTCTTGGGGAAAGAGAAGTTACTCCAGACGGGGGCAGGTGGAGAGGTCCGGGGCGGTGGGCCACCCCAGGGAGGGGCACAGAGACAGATGTAGGCCTTCAGCGACGGGTCCCAGGGGTCCGGAGAGGGGGTGGAGCCTGTGTCCAGGGTGCGGTCCAGAGCCCTGTTGGGCAGGTCCTCCTGCAGGAAGGATGCCCTGTGGCCTCCCACCCCGTCCTGCAGAAGGTGCCTAGGCTGGTGTCACCTCCTTCCCCCATGCAGCCCTTCTCTCATCACTCTGAATGAGTGGCCCTTTGTACATGAAAGGAAAGCGACCTGCATGTGCCTTTAATCCTCCCGATGAAAGAAACGCCGGCACGTGACCCCACAGGAATGCTCCGTCCCTGGCCCAGTGGGCAGGCGGGTGGACGGCAGAGCAGGTGGACGCGTGGGTGGGGCGTGATGAGGATGTCACGACGTCTCCTCCACGTCCCCTCCCTGGGGACACAGTCCCTGGGGACTGTGTATGTGGAGTCCTCTCTCTCTCTCTGGCTCCATTCAAGGGCTCACTTGCCCGTGGGTGGGCAGCGGCCCTAGACTCCAGGGGAGCCCCTTGGATCGCAGGCGGTCAGAGCCGCAGCGCCCCAGCCATGGCCTACGTCCTCCACCCCAAACCCCACCACTTCACAAACAGGAAAACAGAGGTTCCGCCCGAGGTCACAGCGAGTCAGGAGCGGCTGAGACAATGTCAACGAGAGCGGTTCTCCGTGCTTGGTAATGTCCTGGGTGCTCTTCACAACAGCCGTGTGAGCCAGGCACAGCCACTGCCCCCATTTTACAGATGACAAAGTGAGGTACAGACAGGAGAGGTCTGATGGCTCCCAGCCAGAAAGCAGCAAGGCCAGGATTCAAACGCCAGAATGCACGCTCACCACACTGGCAAGTTCTAATGCTGCCCCACTGGAATGCAGGTCTCCTCCCTGCCCCCAGGCCTGCCCAGTCCGCGGGGTGGGGTGGGGGGGCGGTTGCTGCCCCAGCCCTGGGGCCTGGTCAGAGAACTCCTATTCACCCACCTCCCCTGGCCTGAGCCTCAGCTTCCCTTAAAGACTGAGGGCTGGGTGAGACGAGCCAAGAATCCCCGCCGGCAACCCCCACTGCCTCTGGGGCACCTCCACTCAGTGTTCAGAGGGCCGCACCCGCACCCGCAGAAGGACCGGGGCTGCTCCTCCCGCGTGAGGGCCGCTGCTCCAGGAAGCCACCTCCGAGCACACCCTGGCCGCGCCGCGTCCTCCCGCCTTCCGACCCTGTCCACCGCCACCACCAGGTAACCTCGCTCGCTCTTCCTCCTGTGGAGCTAACAGCACTCGGCACACCTGGCAGCTGCTGCCCGGAACGAGGGGGGCTCTCGAGGCACCAGCTCACCTCCACCCCCTGCCACGGGGCATCTTAGGGAGCTACCTGAAGACACGGCACCTCGCAAATCACACACGTCTCCCTGGGCCATGGTGACCACAAAACGCCACATACAGACAAGCCCCAAGCACTGTGTCTTTGCAGTCTGCAGGGGTCCTACCGGCCCCTCACCACACCCCTCCTAGTTGGGACAATCCAGGAACCCAACCCCCTTCCTGCAGGCCACTCCCAACCACTGCTCCTCCCAGCCACTCAGGCAAGGCCCCAAAGCCACAGATGGGCCTGACTCACTTGGTTCTGATGCACAGCTCCAGGGGAGGGACGAGGTCGTTGTCTCTGTCCTCAGGGACGGTCTGGGTGGTGTCTGGGGAGCGGGGAGAGAGAGGCACACGCTCATCAGCCCGGGGCCCACATTCACCCCGAGGTCAGCACCAACAACCCTACTCCTGGGACCTGACTCTTCCGGTACCTGCCCCTCTTCTCTTCTTATTTGGACCCTCCCTGGTTCCTGCCCATCGGTTCTTACCTGGACACCATAGGTGTCCCTGCTCACTGGCCTCCCACCGCCAGTTTCCACCCCACCCTCCTGCCCCCTTTCAGCTACCAGAATAGTTCTTTCTAAAAACATGTCTTAGCCCACCACTCCCCTGCTCCAAAACCTTCCATGGCTCCCCACTGCCTGGAAAATAAAACCCAAACTTGTTGCCGTGATACTGTCTACTACGTAGTCTCAACCTCACCTTGTACCCTTAAGGACATCAGTTTCTCAAGGCCCAGCTCTGGCCCCCTCCTGCAGGAGGACCTGCGCGCACTCGCCCTCTGATCCCCCAGTCTGCATTGTTCTCTGACTGCCCTGACTGGGCGTGCTAAGGCCGGCATCCCTGACCGGTCTGAAGGCTCCCCGGGGACGGACAGGGCAGGCGGGGAGGCGGCGCACCGATGGTCAGCCGGATCTGCTCCTGCTGGGTGGCCAGGCCGTCGTAGTAGTACAGGTCAAAGAGCCTCTCGGCCCTCCAATCTTGCAGCAGCTCCAGCTGCAGGCTGAACAGGACGCTGAAGTGGCTCTCACTGCACACCACCCAGATGGGGAACCTCGGGGTCTTCAGGAAGCAGCCGACCTGGACGAGGGAGAGGGAGCAGACAGAGGTACCTAATACCATGCGCCATCCCCAGGGAAGCGGGCCAGAGCATCTTCTGTCCAACCCCAGGCCCGGGCTGACCTCAGCGAGGCCCCGTTGGGGATCCCAGACCCTGTGTAAGGCTGGGGCCCCGTCTGCGGCTCACTGACACAGAGCTGTCCCTGCCTGCTCAGCCCACTGCTCGCAGGGCCTTTGCCCCACAGTCACATGGAGATACCCTGGCCTGAAAGCCGGGCGTCGCCCCCCCCCTTCATCTCCCACATCCAGCTGGTATGTGGTGCTTGCCCACCCTGTTCTCCAGGCCCAGCCTCTCCTCCCCAAGCAATGACCTCCTAGCCGGCTCTTCCATACCCTCCGCTCCCCAGCCACAGCCACACAGAACCTCTCACCGGTCCTCAAACTACTCCAGCACGGCAAGCCTCATGCCTGTGCGTTCACTGTTCCCCCGTACACCTCTCCTCTCCTAGGGGTCCTGCATCGCCCAGATTACCCAATCAGAGAGCACGCATCATGTCTCGCTTCTAGTCCTAGGTACCAGGTGCTAGGCACCCACCCTCCTCTGCCGCAGTGCATCACTCTGCCTCACCATAAGCACATACGCCTGCCTCTGGCACGGACTACACCCTTAGACCAGAGCAGGGGGTGTAAGTCAACATACGCAAGTGTTTGACGACTGAAGGCCCTCGCGAATGAAGCGGAACTGGAGCTAGGACTTTAGCTTGAAGACAGGTGGGGCTGGAGCCACAGGGGGAAGGGAGGGGGGGCCTCCGGGTGAGCAGTCTGTGGGTGATGCCAAAACAAATGTCCAGAGACACTCAGGAAAAGCGCAGGGCATCAGGAGAGAGCGCGGGAAGGGGAGGACGAAGAGCTGGAACTTCCTTCTGAGGAGGGAGCCCTTTGGAAAGTTCCCAGCAGAGGACTTGCATGGTAGAGGGGTGTTGGGAGAAGGCAGATGCATGGAATCAGCATCAGGGCCTTCCTGTGGTTCTGCCTGCAGAGGAGAGAGGCGTGGCGGGGCCCTCCGAAGGCCTGCTCAGACGCCTGGCTGGTCTGCCCCTCGGTGGCCAGACCTCGACGCGCTCTCTCGCTGTCACCTGTGACTCCCCACCCCGGGCCCTAGTTTATTCATTTCTGTACGTGCAGTGGGCCAGGCTGATTCGGCCTAATCCCCACCAGCCCCAAGGAGATGTTTGCATGCTCAGGTATTTACAGCCACAGCCTGTGGATTAAGGAAAGAATGGGAATTATTTTTCCAGTGGGGAGATGGGCATACTTTCTCCGGGGCCCGTCACAGACGAGTGCCCGGCCAGTCTTCCTCGGGCCTCTCAGAGCCCATCTGGAGCTGGGGTGTCCCGGACAAAGGGGCTGTGCTCCGGGGAAATGCTTGCTCGTGAACCTCCTACAGAGGGTAGCAGGGTGAACTTCACGAAGTGTTCACTGTCTCATTGTCCAAGTCCCCCACCCGCCCCCTCCACCTGGCCCCTTGGGCCCTCACTCCAGCTCCCTGTGAACATCAAAGTGTGACTCGCTCCTTGGTGGAAACGGGGGTGGGGGGGAGGTGGAATTAGTTGTCTTAAACGATGTGGCTGGACGTGCCTAAACCCCACTACAAACTTGGCCTCCATTCCAGGTTAAAATTCCAGGCTTTTCTGGTGAGGGCATCACCTCGAACAGGGAGCCCTGAAGACTGGGAAGCCAGTGCCCATTCACCGCAGGAAAAAAGAGCCAGGCAGCCCACCAGGAACAGGCGTCTGCAGAAACAGCCACCCTGAATTTTCCAGCAGAGGGACAAAAGGGCAGCTTGCCATTTAAGCAACAGTCAAAAGATTAAGGGCAAAAAAAAGCTGCCCGGGGAGTTTATAAATGAGTTTTCTCATTCAGGAGCCCCTCCCCATTGGGTGACATTTTCCAAAGATGAAATTCACTTCCTTTGGACTCTGGGGTAGCTGACCGAAGGCCCGGGGTGAGGAAGGAGGGTGGGTGGGCACATTTCCTCCAGCACAGCCTCTCTCCTGGCGGGTGCACGTGCAGCACAATCAGGGATTAAGGTGACCCTCGAACAACGTGGGCTTGAACCGTGTGGGTTCACTTATACACGGATAGTTTTCAACAGTAACGACTACAGTACTACGCGGTCCATGGTGGGTTGAATCATCGGATGCAGAAGAACGGCGGATACGGAGGACTGACTGTGACTTATACACAGATTAACGCCCGTGCTGCTCAAGGGTCAGCGCGTACTTTTACCTGGATTCTTAAGGTCTTTTGCGGGAGTGAGGTGTGTGAATGCCCCCCACCCAACCATGGCCTGCCAGCTTCGAAGCCCTAATTTAAAAGGACCGACATTTGATGGCTGGCAGAGCGGCAGTCTGTCATCTCCAAGGATAACATCCATTCAACATGAGTTATACTTTGGTCCCAGGGACCGTGTGAGACGATGGGTCGGTGGTGAAGTACCCTGGAACGGCCTGTCCTCATGGGGTTAGCCGCTGAAGGAGGAGGAGATAGTAAACAGAGAATCACACAGACACATTTGCACCACATTTCATTGAATCTAAGATGCCATCGGAGTCACCGTTCTTTTTTGTATCACTAAGAAAGGACGCAGGCTGGCAATTAAGGCCCGACACATCATCGACTGCGTGAAAAACTCAGAAATGTTCAAATGTGGGGCACGTTTGCATCTCAAAAGCAATGAAATGGGATGCGTAAAACCGGGAGGAGGCCTGTGAAGGAAGGAACTAACATTCTACGACGGAGGATGACAAGGTGGGCAGGGGACCACGAGAGCAGACCTCTATTGAGATAGAGTGATGAGGTCAGGAAAGCCTTCCCTGAGGAAGTGACAGTGAAGTCAAAACGTGAAGGGAGGGAAAAGCAGGGACAGGACGCAGGGCCTTAAAGGTCATGGGAAGGTCTGGACTGTAGTCTCTGTATTAGTTTGCTAGAGCTGAGTAACAAAGTTCCACAGATCGGGCAACTCAAACGACAGAAATTTATTTCCTCACAGTTCTGGGGGCTGGATGTCCCAGATCAAGATGTCGGCAGGGTTGGTTCCTTCTGAGGCCCCTCTCCTTGGCTTGTAGATGTGGTCTTCCCTCTGTGTGTGCCTGTGTCCTAACCTCTTCTTCTAAGGATACCAGTCCGCTGGATTTGGGCCCAACCATATGACCTTCTTTTACCTTAATTACCTCTTGAATGGTCTTGTCTCCAAATACAGTCACACTCCAAGGTACTGGGGGCTAGGACTTTAGTAAATGAATGTTGGGTCGGGGGAGTGGGGGGAAACGGCCCAATTCAGCCCATAACAATCTCAGAGGACTGGGAATGCACAGAAGGTTGTTAAGCAAAGGAATGATGTGACTGCTCTACTCTTTTAAAGATCACACTGGCTTCAGTGAAGGAACAGGATTGGAGGGAGGCGGGGACAGGAGCCAGAGGCCAGCTGGGCCATCACAAGTGTCCCGAACAGCGATGCTGGTGGCTCGGATAAGGGTGAAAGTGGACAGACTTGAGAAACAGCTTCGGGAAGGAGCCCCACGACCTCTTGATGGATTGAATGCGCTCCTGGTTTGAGCAACTGGGTAGATGGTGCTGTTTGCAGAGCTGGACAAATGGGAGGAGGAGGGTGGTGCTTACAGAGCTCTCTCTGCCAAGCTCAGCCTTTGTCCAGGTCCCTTCCTGAAGGCAGCAATGAATGGGGAAGCCCTGGAGTTAAACTCCCTGCGCCTTGCTGTCCTCCCCTGGCCTCTCCGTCCCCCATCACCACTGCCACCACGAGCCAGGAGGGGCTGGTCTCCCCACTGCAGCCTGCAGTGCAGCCCATCCTCCCTTTGCGCTCTGGGGTGGAGGGAGTGAGGGGGAAGTCGGATGGGCAAGGTGAGGCCAACCCAGCGGGTCACCGATGGCAGACTGAGTCCCGTAGGACACAGCCATGCTGGGGCGGGGGGCTGCTTACTTACGGCAGGGGTGCATTTCTTGGCCCAGAGTTGCCTCTGCTTCCCCCGGGGCACAGCCGGAATGTGGGTCACCTGACAAGCTGGCTGATAGGCAGGACCTATCACCCTCCCACACACATACTCGTGAGGGCCCCAGAACCCTGGCTCCCAGCCAGAGGCCGCACTGAGAAGCCTGGAGATGGGCTGTGAGCGAAGGCGGGCCTGGTTCTGCCGTCTACATGAAAGAAAGCCTTCAGCCTTATCAGAACAGCCCCGCGGTGGATGCCATGCCCAGGCGGCCCCAAAGACCAGATCTTCCCCAGTGACCACGTCTGTACTGCCAGGTGGAAGACCAGGTCAGGCTGAGAGGCGGCCCCGGCTCTGGGTCCAGGTCTGGGCCTGGAGGCTAAACCTCCTTGGATTCCCTCTCTGTCTGACGTGGCTAATCACGAAAGCCCCAAGCAACTCAGTGACCAAAGGGATAGCGGGTTGGAGTTACAGGAAAGGAAAGTGCTTTGTCTAACTGCCCAGCCTCTGCCTTCTCCTTCAGAGGCCCAGCCTTCAGTGAGCTCTGGAGAGTAGGAGAGGAGGCCCTGGGGTCCTTCTTTAGCGAGGCTGCAGTCCCAAGGCAGAGGAGCAAACCATCCCTCGCTGCAGGGAGATACAACACCCAGTCTTCGACGAAGCAAACAATAGCAGAGCGGGGTGGTGGGGGAGTCTATGTGGATTCAAGGATCATTGTAGGACCTGAATTTGTGCAATCTGCATTTTGTTCCAAGGACAGGATGACGCCCAACTGCTGTTCCCGTCAATTACCCTCAACAGACCGAAGGAAAACAGTTGACATTTTGACCAATGCCCTCCACACGAGAGTGAAACCAGGGCTCATGGTAAACCTGGGGATTCCGCGAGCCCGGGCAAGGTCACCTCTCAGCCCGTGGAATTTCGGGCTGAAGGCCTTCACAGCCCACCCAGGATCTGATGCTCAGGGCTCCTGGTGCTCCTCACGGGCCACGTGGCTACACTCCTGGGCTCCCTCCTGACACCAGCACATCTGGGAAGGAGTCACTGTCACTCTTTTCTCCCCAAGTCTTTGGAACCCACAGGGCTGCTTCCTGTCCGTGGGGGTGGGGTGTCACCCAGAGGCGGAATCTGGGCACGGGGCCACCTGAACAACGGCGTTCAATGGGACAGCCCACCCGAACATGTGATCACGCAGGAAGGGCGTGATGAAACTGAACCGCCCTGCATATCCATCCACCTAGCATACTCTGAGTATCCCTTTGGGTCAGTCTCTGCATCCCTGGCTCTGGGGATGTAAGATGAATGGGGCCTCATCCTGACCCTCCAAGAATCTTTGCTGGGCCGGTCACCAGAGAAGAACCTCCTGCTACCCCTCAGGTCATGTAATCGACCACAGAACAATGTCTTCCCTGGAGACATGAAAACCGAGGCTCAGAGAAGGTTCAGCAGCAGGTTGGGACAAGGACACAGGGCCCGGTGGTCCCCTGCCCATGTTGCCCAGAGATACTGTCACCCTACCCCGTGCCCAGCTTCAGCTGGGGGTCCGGCCCTCTCTAAGACCCTGGCTGCAGTGAGAGAAAACGTAGAGGGACCAATACACTTGCAAACAGACTGAGTAAGGCCTATTATGGGTTGAACTGTGTCCCCCCAAAAGCTCTGTTGAAGTCCTAGCCCCCAGTACCTCAGACTGTGGTCTTATTTGGAAATAGCGCTGTTGCAGATGTAATTAGTCAAGGCGAGGTTAGCGGGGTAGGGTGGGTCCGCAATCCACGTGACTGAGGTCCTTATGAGAAAAGGAGACACAGAGGGAGAAGATGGCCATGTGACACCAGAGGCAGAGACTGGAGTCATGCAGCCACAAGCCAAGGCTCACCGAGGATTTTGCTGGGAAACGTCAAAGGCTAGAAGGGACAAGGAAGGCTTATTCTCCCCGTGGGTTTCAGGAGGAGTGTTGCCCTGCCGACAGCTTGATTTTGGACTTCTGTTAGGAGAACTTCTGCTCCAGAACTATGAAACGACACGTTTCTGTGGGTTTAAGCCACCCAGTTTGTGGTGCTTCGTTGAGACAGCCCTAGGAAACTAACACGAGGCCCAAGACCTCAGGCCCTTGTCCCTGGAGAAGACCCCCTGGCCGACACACACACACACACACACACACACACACACACACACACGACAACTGCGGCCACGCTAATGCACGAGCACACTGTAAAGTCCCTTTCATGGCATCACAGCTGGCTCTGGGAGTGAACTTCGTGCCTGTGCTGGATGGCGGTGAAGCTGTGTGTGTGTGTAGTTTTCCCATATGCTCCGTGACTGAGACTGGACCCAGCTCCGGGAACTGGAGCCAACTCTCCTTCTCCTCCCTCCCTCCTGTTGGTCCCAGGGAGCCAGGCTCTTGGGCCTCTGGAGGCCCGAGGGCTCGGTACCTGGCACACGCTGTAGTGTTCAAAGAGGGACAGGAAGCCGATGTCGCTGCGTGCGGCGATGCCTTTGAGGAGCGTGATGTTCCCGTTCCCGGAATCGAGCTCAACCACGTCGTTGAAAACATTGGACACGGCTTTCCCGGTCAGGAGCAGATTGACAAGTTCCTGTTGATGAGAGAAAGGGGAAAGGCTTGTCAAGGGGAGATGGGGAACAAGAGAAAAAGGGCAGAAAAGGAAGGAAGAAAGCAGGGAGGGCGAGAGACTGAAATCAGAGGGGCTGTGGCTTCAGCGTTCCCACAGCCCTCAGGGAAGCTGCCAACTCTGCTCATCAACGTGACTTTGGGAACTCATCAGTCCTTATTCCACAAGCATTCACTGGGCACCGGCTGTGCCCAGGACCCTGTGTGTGCGTCGGCTGGGGGTGGGGTGCGGGTCCCGCTGGAGGGAAAGAGTGGCTCCTGACCTCGGGCGTCCGGGTCTAGAGGGGGGACTGGTGCGGGCCTGCACACCTGAAGCACAGTGTAGGATGTGACTGCGGCTGTAACAATGTGTGCACAGAGCGCGCGTGGCCCACACAGACACAGGACCCCGTGACAGTCGGAGCCGCTTTGTGGAGAAGCAGCATTTGGGCGGGTCTTGAAGTCTTGGATACTTTTTTAATAAGCTTTTTGATTCTGAAAGAACTTTAGAGACATAAGAAGTTGCAAAAATAGTACAGAGAGTTCCTGTGCACCCGTCACTCAGCTTCCCCCAACGGTAACATCTTACATAACCAGAGCGCATCATCACCACCAGGAAGCTGACAATGGGGTGACACCAGTAACTCAGCTCCAGGCCGTATTGGGATTTCGCCAGTGAGGGCGGGGTCTCCAAGGCGGGGGAAGGAAAGGAGAGGATAGCAGGGGCAGGGAGGAGAAGGCAGGCGGGCCCCAGCCTGGGTTCCCGCTCTGTCTCTGCCTCTGCCTCTGTTGGCTGCATGGCTGCACGCCTCACGCCTCGCACCCGACAGGCCAGCAAGCCTGCCGACCCCAGAACCAGGAGACGGTGACTTGTGGAGCTCTGACTCTCTGGCCATCTCCTTTAGCCAGTGCCTCCGGCACTGGGTTGGCTGCAAGGGCCCTTCCTCAAGCAGAGCATCTAGGGCTCCAACCTCCCGTCAGGAATGCGGAAACAGGCTCGCAGCTGGGACGGGATTTGCCCAGGCCACACAGCTGCTTAGTGACAGTGCCGGACTCCCACCCTCACTTTCCGGCTCCCTTTCTGGTGTCCCTTCCCTCTCCCCTCACTTGTTACCCTCAGGGTACCACCTGGCCAGCCAAAGATTCAAAACGGAGGGCAACCGCTAAGCACGCGCTGCCCTGCTAAGGAAGGATACACGGGAGCCCAGCCTTAGCGCTGGGGCAGGAGCTTCTAACTCCTTCTGCCAGGGCTGGCGCGTGTGTGAGGCCAGCCCGCAGGAATCTCCTCCATGGTACGTGGGAATGGCCACAACAGCCCTTGCCCACCATAAACTCTGGAGGGCAGAGTTCACAGAAGTGTTTTCCCCGGAACTGTGAGAGTGATGCGCAGGTTAATAAATCCCTCCGTCAACCCCAGGATCCCTGCCCCAGAGGCAGTAAAAGAGGCCCCTCTGATGGCCGCAGAGGGGCCCTCATTGGAGGGAGATACCGAGGGGGCCTCATTGTGTTCTTGCAGAGGAAGCAAGAAAGAATTTGGAGGAAATGTCTGCTCTGAGATACTGCACCTCAGGGCCAGCGGCTGCCTAAGAAAGGCATGGCCTTCTTCAGACACATTCAAGGGCTCCCAGCGGGTTTTCAAGGGGGAGAAAAGGTCCTGCTGCCCATCTGGGGTGTGTCTCAAAACCTTCCTCAGAGCAGGAAGCCTCCTCAAAATTGGGGGAGAAATAGTGACAGGATGCTCCCTGCCCCTAGACTCAAAATCACACAGTGGCAAAGCTTAGCGGTCATCTGGTTCCTCACTACTCAGTGTAGTCCGTGGACCAGCCGCATCACCCTTCCTGGAAGCCCGTTAGAAATTCAAAACCTCAGGCCCTAGCCCGGGCCCACGGAATCTCAGCCTGCTCTTCAGCAAGACTCTGCGGGACTCGTGTGCACAAACAAAGTTTAAGAAGCACCGATCTAGTCCAAAGGCTTCATTCTACACATGAGGAGACCGAGGTTCGGGGAGGGGAAGAACGTCGCTCCAGCTCATGCTGCGAGTGGAACGGCCAACACGGCTCAGAATCCAGCCCCAGACTGTGCTCTGCATCCTCTGTACACCGCTTAACTGCCCACCCCTGGGTCCCACCGCCCTCCGACAGCGCGTCGGGAAGCTCCCACGGGGAGCGCAGGCACCCAGAGCAGGAGCTGGACCAGCACTGGCCGTCGCTCAGCCTGAAACCTTTCTCTGGGGGGTAAGCAGCAGGCAACCTCACATCTCCTCGGGTGCCTTGGACAAACCACAGGCCCCAAGCGGGCCCTTGCACGGTGCCCAGGTATGTTTTCAGGACTGGCACAAGTGAGCCAGGACCCCTAGGACAACTGGGTCCTCAGCTGGGCCCAGCAACCAGAGAAGCTCCGCTCAGCCTGTCTGTGCTACACACGACGCCCCCAGATGCACTGAGGGTCAGATTTAACTGTGGCCCGCTGGCCGCTCAGGAGGCCTTGCCATGCAGAGAAGGGCTCAGACAGTAGTCATGTGTAGCATCTGGCTCCGGTCCCGACACTCGCTGATAGGATCTGAAACAGATCCCTTTCCTTGTGCCACTGGGTGACTGGGAGGATCGATGACAAGCAGTTGTGCTAAGGGACCCCCTGCCCTCCACGAAGCCACTTGAGGGCCCCTTTGTGAAGATGCAGAGGGGTGGGTGGTCATAAAGACCATGTGCTGTACAATCGTAGGGCGCCATGGCCGTCGTCCCCGCAGCTGGGCCTGGGGCTCCCAGCCTATGCCGGGGCTCCGGGCTGGGCAGCACCTGGCTCTGCCTCTCTTGAACCTCCTGCAGCTCCGGGCACACAGATCGGGTACAGCAAACTCCAGAAACAGAAGTTAACCTGAGTTCCCTCTCTAGGTCTCCGTGAGGAAGAAGCCCAGCAGAGGCGGATCACGAAAGCTGCCTGGGGAGTGCTGGCAGGGGCAAAGACAGAAGGCAAGAGGGAGGGAAAGAAGCGCCTGACCACCCCACGCCCCACTGCGGCCCTGACCTGCGTGCAGTATCCGTGTGCTCCAATCAGGTGGCTGGTGGGGACGTCGAAGTCCTGGCGGACACTGGAGAGCAAGAAGAAAGGGCTGTTAGCACACCTCTGCCTGATTCAGGATCCGGGCAAACCTCGAGGGTGGCCAGGGCCTCCCCTCGGGTTCCAGGCGGAGGCCCCAAATCCCGGACTTGGCGGGAACCTGAGCCTCTGTGCTCTGTGCCCTCCCTGGGGCTGGAGTCCGGGGCTCACTCTGCTCTGGGCAGTGGCCTCCACTCTGGCCTCCACTCTGGCCACCAGGCCCTCGGTAGACACCAGAGGCTCGTGATGGAAGCATGCCACAGCAGAAAGGGCGCTGGGTTTGGAATCCACGTCCTGCATTCACACTCCTACTGTCGCTTCCTAAGAGTGGGGACTGGGACATGCCCTGCCACCTCCAGTCCTCGGTCTGCAAGTCGGTTAGATGGGAGGAACGGCCTCTAACGCCTCCTGGAGTCCTGAAACAACAGCTGCCGCCACCTAGGCACAGACCCTGTACCAGGCCGAGTACAACTATCATTCCCTAAACCTGAGAGAAAACCAAGGCTCCGAGAAGAACTGACGTGCCCGGGGCATTCAGCTCGCAGGCGATGGAGCTGGCGGGGATCTAGCTGCCAGTCTCCGAGGCCTGTGCTCCCCCCGACCCTAGATCACCTCTGTGGCTCCACCTTCAGAATGGGGTCCCCCTAAGGGCACAAGGTGAAAAGCCCCTTTGCCAAAAGAAACCCCACCAAACGGAAAGAAAGAGATTTCTAGGGCTGTATGCTACTGGGGGGCAGAACGGTACAGTGTCAGGTCAGCAATGGCCCCATCACAGGTGAGGCCAGCACCAGGAGGCAAGCCCCCTGCCCCCAAATCTCAAAACCATCCTACCGTCTAGGAAGCCCACCATTAGGACATTATTATTCCTTTTACCCCAAAGTAAATCCCTCGGGAGACCAAGCATTATTGTTGAACAGAGCCGTGGGACAGACGGGTAACAGGAAAGGAGCTCCCACCGCACTCAGAGGACAGCATTTCAAGGCTCCAGCCACCCAGTGAAGCAGGAATTACTTTATTTTACAGACATGGAAAGAAGCCCAGAGAGGTAACGCCAGGGGGGTGATGTGAGGCCCGGGAGCCGGCTCACCCCACTGCTGCCCACCCAGCACGGGCTACATCTTCACCCCAAAGAGAGCACCCAGGGGTGGCCCAGAGGTAGGAAGAGGCAAGCAATCACGACGTTTGTTTTTCCTTTTAGTGGAAGAGAAGAAAAACCTGGTCTCACTTTTATGCTTTCAATCTCAATCTGCCGTAAGTCCACAAACCTAAAACATGCACTCTGGTCCCAAACGAGCTTAGAAACTCAAGCCCCACGACTCCACGGCAGAAACGCTCTCTTGTGGATTTTACTAACTGGGGCCGACAGGGACGGTTCGTGGTCCACACGAGAAGACGGGCTGGGTTGACAGTGCAGGGCCCAGCCGAGAACCACGGAGGCTGGGGGTCCTCAGGAAGGGCCTTGGGGGCTGGCCTGCCAGAAACGACCCAGCGGGCCTGGGAAGGGGCCAGCTGGGGGACGGGGGACAAATGGGCGAGGCCGGCGTGTGGCTGGCACTGGCTTGGGCAGAAGAATTGATGGAAACGCTCCCTGCGGCATATATACAGGCATCTTCTGAAGGGAAGAAAATAGCCTCCGAGGGGCCCTGGGTGGACTGATAAGGATCGCTGGCCCCAAGCCACCCCGAAGCTTTCAGAAGCAGTCTGATCTTCTCACAGCCTCGTGTTCACCCAGCGGGTTTGAGCGCCTGCGTCAGCTGAGAGCAGAAGGACGGGCAGAAAGGACAATAGGAGGAAATGGTAATTGCATCCTTAGGTGCAAACACGATGGGAAATTCAGAAGTAGGCTCAGATCTTAAAAAGGAGGAACATCTGTATTTCATACTAGGGCATTTGGGAGACGCCAAGGAGCGGCTTATGGCTTAAGAGATTTACAACTTTGGCAAATCTAGATGCCCAGACCTCGATCTAGGGGAAATCCCTGGAGAGCTGAGAGTGAGGAATCCTGGAGCAAAGGAACAGCGGCTTCTGCTCTGCCCCAGAGAGGAGGCGATTCACACGGTGGGGCCATCACCAGACCAGAGTTCTAGTCCTGTCTTGCCATGTGGCCACAGACCTCTCCTCGCTGGGGCTCAGTCTCCCCTTCTGCAACATGAGGGACTTGCACAAGGGCAGGCAGTGTCCCGGGAGCAGGGGCTGAATCCACGGAGGGGCAGCCTGAGCTCTGAGGTTCCTACTTCCTGGGCTTCTGAGCTACAAGCTGTGATGGGCCCCCCCCGGGACTGACCATTCCAGTCTAAAGAGCAGCTTATTCCTTCCACAGTCCTCCTGGGAGCTGGACAACACTGGGCCCCGGAAGAGGTCTGCATAGCCCGAGGACCCAGGCACCAGGCTGGGTGAGGGGGAGCCAGGGCCTGATGAAGTCTGCCCCCTGAGACTGGCCCGCACTGGGGAACACTTTAGGGAACAGGACCTTGCCTGGATTTTAGACTGCAGGAGGCACAGAGTACGGGGAGCCTGAGTGGACGTGCCCAGGGCGTGGAAACTTACGAGGAAGGGCTTGGCCCTGGCGGCCCTGCTGCCAGCCTCCTCAGCGTTCTGGAAGCCAAGGGCCAGAACCTGGACCAATGGTCTCCGGTGATGGCCTGACCCTGACCCTGGGCGTGTCCAGTCCACCCACTGACAGAGGAAGGGGCTCTGCCCAGGATGCCAGCAAGGACGGCTTCTCCCAGCTCTGCCCGCATAGGGAGGTCCCAGAGACACTGCACTGCACCAAGAAAGGAACAAAGAGGACGTCAGGGCTGGCAGAGCCTCCGGGGCCCAGCATTCTGCAGACGGGAGAATGGATGGCTAGACAAAGGACACAACTGGCCCAGGGCTAGTGACAGGTGCCAGCCCACATTCAGGCTGAAGCCGGTCCTACAACTCCACTGCCTCTGTCCAGCCCGCCCTCTGGCGCAGGGCTCAGAGGGGCAGAGGTTCTGCCCCTGAGCGGCTCACAGCGCCCGAGCCTCGGATCTGCAGAGTCTGCGGCCTCAGACGCTTTCAGCGACACTGTCCTCCCTAAAGTCCTGTGAGGTCAGCGGGCAAGAGCGGCTATCTCTGTTCTACTGATGGGGAAACTGAGGCCCATAAAGGAGAAGGGACTTGTGGTCACACAGAGTCAGGGACTGTGTCCCTGGCACCAACATCACACTGTCTGGGGTGGCCTGAAACACGTGATAGCCAACCCGGCTGGCCAGCTCTAGGCAGGTCCCTGAGCCCTGAAGCCCCAGTCCTGGTCCCCACCCTCCCCGGCTGGGACACAGCTTCCCTCTGAAGCTTCCCCAACACACGACTGAACATATGAATCTGGGCATTTTGTGCAGAAGTTTCTGAATAAGAAGGAAAATATGTCCAAGCGGCCTACGCATATGGTTCTGGTCTACAGCCAAAATTCACCTAAAATCAGTGTCCACAAGAGGCGGGGTCAATGGTCAGCTCAGTCCCGGACTCGGCGGAGTGACCTCGGGCAAGTCAACACCTCGCTCTCAGCCTGTGTCTTCATTTATAAAACCAGAGTCTCCGGGGACCTTCCAGGATGTGCACAAGTGTGCCTGGTCCACGACTCTGATATCTAAAACATCATGCCTAAACTAACTGGTAATTAACCGGGGAGGACCCAACCAGCCACCTCCCCTCCACCTGACCTCTAGGGCACCAGGCCCGGGGCACCACCACATTCCACTGGGTCAGCTCCTGCCTGTCCCTCCCAGGACACCCTCCCCCAGAGACTGCACCTTCCACTGCGCTCCCTGCCACCTGCAGCAGCCTCCAGAAACAATCACCCATTGTTCGGTGGGACTTCTACTGACTCTCGAGGACAATATCAACAGCGAAAGGACAGCTGTGGAACAACTAAGAGAACGTGGGCTCTGACGTCAGAGAGCCTGGGATTCAAATCCAGCTGCTGCCGCTTACCGGTTGCTCCCCTCTCTGAGCCTCAGTTTCCCCACCTGTAAAATGGGTATGAAGACGCCTCCTTCTATTACAGATTGCTGTGAGAACTGAATGAGATGAACTAGATAAAGCATTTGACATTTGGTAAATGTAACTTCCTTTTTCCTGCGATACCAGCAACAACAACAACAACAACAAAACAATGACTGAGAGGTCATGATTCCTGCAACCTCCACTATTCGTATCACGGCCAAAATCCCAGAATAAATGGAGTCTCCGCTCCCAGCGATTGAACTGTGGCCATGAATATCTGAAAAGGATTTGGATGTGGCCAGATATCAACTGTTTTGGAACGTCGACAGGGAACGGACAATGAGTCAGAATACCTGGGTGTCAGGCCCCCTCTGCCACCTGCGCTGTGTGACCTTTGGCAAATTTCTTTCTACCTCTGAGCCTTGGGTGTGTCATCCCCTGATGGAGGCAACAATAACCACCTCAAAGAGTCGTTGCAATAAGAGCTGAGGCCATAAAAAGGCCTTGCAAACTGCAGACAGCTCCACAGGTTAGAGGGCACGGGTATTATTTCCATTCTGCAGGCACGGGCCCTAAAGAGGAAGGGGACCCAGGAAGCAGGGCAAGGAGAGTGGATGGAGAGAGAGGGACCTGCCTGGAGGAAGGAAGAGAAAGCAGAGATGCCCAAGCCCTTCCCCCACTGCCTTCCACCTCACCTCCCCCAGTCCTCTTCCACGTGCCGGCACCTTCCTTCCAACCGCGCCTGGAGGAGCCCTTCCCTGCAAAAACCCCTCTGCTGGCCTTCGCCTGCTCTACGTTCTTGCTGCCTGCCGCAACCCTTCCCACATAATGCTCAGAGCCCTGCTGCCACCTCCTCCACAAAGGGACACCTCCCTTGCCCCAGAGAGATGTGCCCCATCTCCCTGCAGACATCCCCTTCCTAAGAGCGCCCATCCCCTGCTTTTCGGGTGCCAGCCTTGCCCCTCCAGGTAGCAAGGACTTGGAGGGCCTGGGTTATGTTGTGTCCGTCTGGCCCCATGGTGC